AGCCACCAGAGGAGGGTGGGGGTGGGGCAGGGAGAGAGAACGAGCTCACTAAGAACAAATTATTATTGGGAAACATCTACATTTAAGGGAAGAGAAAAACTAGTAGGAATATTTTGAGAGTGAGAATAATCAGGAGACTGAAATGTCATGGAAACCAAATGCAGAGTTTCAGGAAAAAAGAAATGGTCGACAACGTTGAACACTGCACAGTGAGGGGGAGGATGAGGACTGGGGAGTGGTGGTTAGACTTGACCCCTGGAGATCTGCTGTCTTATTGCCCAGACATCCCGATGGCCTCAAGCACCAGGTGGGAGGGCAATGGGGAGTCGTGCGAAATTTTTGAGCAGCACAGTGACACGATCAAACTTTGCTGGAGTTCAGGCTAACATGGGGTATGATGGCCGGGAAGAGGCAGAAATGAGGGGGAGACCCTCTAGGAGGATACTGCAGTAGTCCAGGCCAACGGAGTTCTAGAAGTTGACATAAGCGCTGGGGGCTTCAGTGTTCAACTTGTAGAGCAGCAGCATGACAACTGGCCCGAGGTCGAGGGGGTCTGAGGGATTCCTGGATCCCCAGGCAGGTATGGCCATTGCTCTTTTCACGTCGCCAGCAATGGATATTTCCCAACACTGTCTCTCTCAGCTTCCACAGCTAATATTTGTCTCCTATTGATCCAGTATCCAGCCTGTTACTTTTTAACTGGAGTCCAGGGTTCAAAGGCCTGGCTGTTGTTTAAACCCTCATTACATTGGGAAAAGTATGTCCCCCTGATAATGTCAACTGATGAACAGGCGAGGATCTTCTAGGTAAATATAGACTTCAGAGAAGACAGAGGGGGTCAGGACAGGGTTAAGGTCAGGGTAGGGCGGTGTGAGGAGGAGGGAGGGAGAGGACGCAGTGGCAGAGGTCTTGGAATGGATGAGCGCTAAATAACTAGAATTCAAACAAGTCCCAAACTCAAACTTTTTGCTATAAATAGTATTAAATGTTAGTTAATATCTAAAATCCTTTACAAGCAGAAACTCTTAAAAACACAACATCAAAGAGTTCTTGGAAGTAGAAAATCCAGTCCTCAGTCTCTGGTCCCTCCAGCCCTTTAACTGTTGGACAAAGGGATGTTTGTGTTGTCCCTGGAAGGTACTTGGAAAATGCAAGGCACTTGCTATGTGGTGGGGGGAGGCTGGAGGGTGGGGAGGGTTCTGTCCTACTGCAGCCAGAAAGGCAGGACGGCTTCCAGTTAGGTGCTGAGGCTGGGGCTGTCCCCAAGAACGGGTTGTCTTCACATCGTGTGGACATTGATTCACAATGGATTCACAAAAATTCGCAATGGATTTTGTGCCCTGAAGCAGGCCCTCTGCCCTCAAAAACCTCCCCTTCTCAATTTGCTGATACCTAAATGCCATAATTTTGACCTTTATTCCTTTTGATTTTAACCAAGCATTGTCTCTGTAAAATAAAAATACTTCTGGAGTGGTCATGTGTTTAGTCTATCATTCATTATGTCTTAGTATAAATGAGGTTCTTGGCTCTTCTCTTAGAGAAGAGGTTTGAGGGAGGGGATGGCGGATGGGAAGTAGAGTTAGTGTTTGCATGGTGCTTTTGAGCCAGACAAGCTGGGTTCGGAGCACCACTCTGCAAGTCCCTTAACCTCCCCGTTTGTTTCCTTGTGTGCAAATTGGTGCTAATAATATCTACCTCATTAGGCTGATGTGAAGATTTATAAGTAATAATAGTATTATCATAAGAGAATAAACTGAAGACCCTAGAACCTTGGCAAATGGCAGCAAGGCACTATCCCAAGGGGAAATTCACTCTGCAGAGGGATGCTGAAGGCTGAAGCTGAACTCTTAAAGGCAGAGTTTGTTCTCCTCCAGGTGCCACTAGATATTTCCCAGCTTCCTTTGCAGTTAGGTATGCCATGTGACTGACTTCTGGCCAGAAGAAGGTAGGCAGATGGGATCTACCCACCAGGCTTTGTCCTCCCTGCCTGGTCCTTCTGCACAATCTCCCACAGGCTTTCTTTTCCCTCCTCTTCCGGTGGGGTGCAGAGGACCCTGTCCCAGGGGATTGTGGAGCCATGGGGGTTAGAGGAACTGAGTCCCTGAATAACTGTATGGAGCACAGCGTCTCCTCTATCCTACAGAGGACTGTGAGAAACACATCTTTATTCAGCCACTGCAATTTGGGGATTGCTCTTTGCAGCATTAACCTGCCCTAACAAACTCTTGCCTCTTCCCTGCTCAGGATGCATGCACAAACAAGAGGGGTCAGGCAGGAGGAGATGGCAAGGAGCCAGGGAACTGGAGACCAATCCAGACCATCCCCTCTGCAAGCTTGAGGAATTGGTAACCTCTCCTTGCAAAATGTACCTGGATTTCAATCTAGGAGTTCGAGATGATCATTGTACATAAATGGTCAAGGCTTGAGGTGATTGTGTATATTCAGGAAGTATGTTACATGTGAAATGGGGACACTACTGGGACATTAAACTGATGTCTTTTCATTCATGATGCCCCATGGTTTCCTATCCGTTGACCTAATGGGTTTTACTGCTTCAAGGTGGGGTAGATACTCACTAGAATAAATTTATTGTAATAAGTTGTATGGCTCTATTTATATGAAATTCGAGAAGACGCAAAACTAATATATGTTGGAAAAAAATTCAGGACAGCAGTTGCTATATGGGTTTGGGGATAGGGATCGACTTGGAGGAGACATGAAAGAACTTTATGGGGTGATGGTGACACAGGCACATGCATTTGTCAAACTTCAGTCAATGTACACCTAAGATTTCTGTATTTCACTTTATGTGAATTTTACCTCAAAAGAAAAACAAATACATATAGTTAATGATATGCATGCTGCAGTTTTTGGGGAGTCTATGATGCCTGTATCTTTCTTTTCAGTGCTTTGGTAAATGAGAGGGACGAAAGGATGGGTGGATGGGTGGATACATGAAAAGGCAAACCCAGTGAAACGTTAATGGTAGAATCTAGGTAGTGGGCACACAGGGGTTCCTTGTACAATTCTTCCACCTTTTTTCAGTGTTTGCAAATTTTCATAATAAAATGTTGTTAGAGGGGAAAGTAATTGTTATGTTTTGGGACTCAAAGCTGACTGTCGTCCTGAGGGACATGGCATGAACATCAGACTTTGAGGAACAAGAGATTTTTGGTCATTCTAAAAGGCTCCCTTTCTCTATCAAGAGCTAAATCTAGACAATTCGTATTACAGACTTTTATCAAAGGCCTTGTCATCAGGGGAGTTCCCAGCAGAAACAGGAAGAGAAAGCTTTTGGCGTGGAGGAGACAAGGGTATGGGTTAGGTTTTGGGCACTTACTGTCTCTGAGCCCCGATGTTCCACCACCCTGGGCCTTGGCAAGGGGAGAAATGTCAAAGAGAGCACCCCTGGCAGGGCAGAAGAGCTGGAGGCAGCAAAGCTTTGGGCCCTACTTCCCATTGGGGACGCTGGCAGGCGGCCCAGAGGTTGTCGCTCTGCTGCAGGTGAGCGGCTCCGAGCAGCAGGGTCACGGGTGATGCAGCAGAAATGGCCCAGGAGCCTGGCTGTGGCAGAGGCATGGGGCGGTGACCCTGGGCCCCAGAACTTTGGGGTGGGATGCCAGTGAGCATCACAGCCAGCCAGGGACAGGTTAAGCCTGCAAGAGGTCCCTGGAGGATGGCCCTGGAGTACTTGCAAACTCATGCAGGGGACAGAGAGGACAATGCCACAGAGCCCCAGGAGAGACACCCAGGCCTGTGCCTTGAAGACTCACCAGGCCTGTCTTTTGAGGCTCCTGAATTTCGAAGAAGACAGCTTCACCTGTGCCTCGCCGCCCAGTTGGGAACGCAGCCAGTGCCACCTTGGAATTTGGAGGCACATCAGCATGGGGCACGGGCTGGGGTGTCCCAGAGGCTGGGCGGAAAGGTGCAGGCTGGTGGCCAGAATGGACCTTTCTCCCAGTCTGGCCTGAGGTCAGCCTATACAGCACTCAACAGGGAATCTCTGTTCTTACCCTCCTCAGTCCACACCTGAGCCCTGCAACCTACTCATGGGAGTCTACTATATGGCTCACTTTTTTCCTGCTCAATTCATGTGCCATACTTACAGACTCTCCAGACAGTGTTCTCTGGAAACTCAGTTTTGAGAAGTGTCCTCTCCCAGCAGGGTGAGCACTGAAGGGCTCAGAAAGTGGCTTTTCCTTTTACCCCAGAGACCCCTTTGATCATGGTTCCTCAGAGCCAACCACAGGGGAGCTGTCCTTAGTTTCCCAGGTACCCTTGCCTACCCCGCTGACATTTTTGCCAGGGGCTTTAAGATTTCAGAAGTGCCTAGGTCACTCTTGGACTTCAGAGCGTATTAACCTAGCAACTGTGTAACTGATTTAACTTATTCATTCCGCCCTTTGTGTCTTTCTCTAGGAAGGAATGTGCAGAAGTTCAGAGGGGCTCTATCCACCTTGATCTCTCCATTGTGTACTCAAGTGTGGAAGAAGTGGCAGGAATCCTGGGTGCTGCTGACGGCTTTCCAGAGACCACCTACTGGGAATGAAAAATGACATGTCACAGGAAACCAAGGACTGTCTCAACTACGTTCTGCTTGGTCTTTACCTCCTGCCAGTTCTTAGGGATGGGTTAAGGCCATAAAAGGAAAAATTCCCCAGGAGCTTATGAGATTATTTGAGTGGAATGAAACAGCCTAGGGAAAAATGCCACTGGGTTTTCACAGGGACCTGACGTGAGACCTGGACTTTGGCAGCATCTTTCTTCTCAGACCCGCCCTGGCTTCATTGTTAGTTTCATTAGCTCTCACACAAGTTTAAGGATGGTGGATAAAAAAAAAAAACATGCGTCTTAAGTTTAAGCCACGTGTTTTGGGCAGACTAATGTTTTTAAAGGTGTGGAACTTTTAGAGAGATGAAGAAAATAAAAATACTATAAATCTGCAGGCGTTTAAACCCCGAGCCAATTAAGATGATGCATTCGCGAAGAAGCTTTAAATCAGACAACCCATAATACTTGATATAGAAAATGTTCCAGCTTCCATAACTCTTTATTAAATATTGACAAGTTGCAGCACTTCTTTACAATGACTTCATTTTGTTACATTACTCTTTCGCTGTGAGGAAAACAATTGACCATTTCTTTAGATCGCTCAAGAAAAAGGAAAAGCAAAAAGGATTTGTTCTTAAACAAATTCAACCATATTTTAAAGCTGTTCTGATTGTGAAAATGAGCATTATCCATAAGTTGTCTTTAAAAAAAAACAACAAACTTCAAGGTAGTTTGGTTTATACCACAGTATCAAATAGTACTTGGCTTCATATTAGGAGATGGGTTTGTAATAAAAAGTTATGAAACATTGAGAATTCATTTGGAATGCTTGAAACTCTTTTCACCTTAAAAGTCACTGTTTTTTCATGTTTGACTTGATAACAGATCCTGAATTAAGAAATGACAGCAAATTAATCTTCCTAGGGTTCTCTCAGGCTCTGAGGGTCAGAATTCTCAGGACGCAGCTTGGAAAACTGTAGAAGGGACTAAACTCACTCCCTTTTGAAACCAGATTACTCAATAAAGGTGTAAAAATGCTATACAAATACATACATGTATATTTGGACAGCATGTGTATATATGTATACATATTACATACACAGTAGAAAAGGAAGAACAAAGTCACTCAAAGTTAACATGAAGGAAACGGTGACAATCGAGGTGAAATTAGTTGGAGTAAGAGGGGCAAACCAGCTTATACAGGAACACAGGTATCCATAGACACAGGTCAATGGTCATAAGGAAGGCTTCGATGCACAGTTCACGGTTAAGAATGCAATACACTAGAGATCAGGAGCCAACCGCAACATCATTAGATTCCCGCTGTTCCTTCTTCCAAACAGAAAACCGACCGACAGACATGCACTTTAAACATGCATTGCTTTGAGCTAACATCTTAACAAAGAATTGATGTCTAATGAGAGGTTTTCTTGTAAAATTTCATACCAACAGAAAGCTACCCCTTTCCTACAAAACGGGACACAAGCTCCTGTCCTAACGCTATAGCATTTTCTCTGCCACATCAAAAACACTCTAGGGTGGGGGTGTGCAAGTGTATATACACTGTTAAGGCTTATTATACAAATTAAAAAAGTGGTCCAAAGTATATCACATTTTCTTCCCAGTTTTAAAATCTAAAGTACAAAGTGGAGTTTATAAGGTTTTTTAAAAAATCACATCTCGGTCCTGAAATTGGCAGTTTTGACATGACTTGTCAGGATGTACCCCAATGCCTGATTGAGACAGAGGTAGTGCATGATCTTTGGGGGTCAGGAAGGGAGCAGGCCAGGCAGTTACCCTGCACAGTGGCACCCCCTACTGGCAAGGCAGAAAATGATACCAGACAGCATCTTCCTCCTTCCCCTCTCAGTACAGGGGTGCAGAGTTGGGGTGAGGAGGAGAGAGGAAAAGAAAGGAGAACTAGCATAGTGGGGAGGGGCTGGGAGTTAACACAGACCTCTTTATAGATCTTTAAATTTCAGAGGTGAGATACAGGACTCAAAAAATACAAGAAGTCAATTGCTACGTAATTGGTAACTGTTAGAACAATCGGTAAGTGGCTTTCAAGAGAGCCAATTTGGATCTGGCAAGATCAAACAGCAATGGCATGCATATGTTGTCTACTTAACAATGGGAGATGTGAAAGTGGCTCAAGAATTTTGCAAACCATTTCCCAAAATCTGTCACTGTGTTCTAACATAGGAGAAATAATCCATGTCAAGTCGCGTTATGTCATTCACCATCTGAATTTAGGGAATATCTGATGTCACCCACCAAAGGGCCACGGAAACAAAAATTAAACAAGTATCTTAGGTACCTGTGATCTGTTAGAGGACCGGCTACAACAAAATAAATGACAGTAATTGTTTCAGGCAAAAGTAAAAGAGCACTGAAGCCAAGTACACTGTTCAACAAATGCCTCACTGTTGCCTGGTCCAGAGCCAGTGGGTTGGAAGCAGCACATGATCTGAAGTTAATGCCGCCAGGTGGACTTTCCAAATTCATCCTCAGGCCAAGAAGGGGCAGGAATAGACAGACCCAGGATCCACAGGCAGAAGTGATAACTGATGTCAACAGACCTTCGACATGCAGCACGTGAGCTTTGGCACTTCTTAGCCTCATGATAAGTGGCCCATAATAACTAAAGCTTCTGCAGGGAACTAAAGAAACTGGATTAAGGTGATTGCCATGGCTAGGGAGAAAACAGAGGCCATAGAGACCCTGGACCTGGACTGCAGAGCTGCGTGGCTGCTGGGACAACTAGAATCAACTAGGACAGGTGACACCTCCCTCCTCCCCCAGGGCTGCTGACCAGAGCAGGTGGAGGCCCTGAGGAGTGCATCAACCTGCTTGTTACGCGGTGCATTTTCTCTACTGCCACCTGCAACTGCACCGTGATGACAAAGAGTGGTGATTGAGGTTTAGAGAAAACAAGACATAAGAGCATTTTAAGCAAAGAGTGAAACTTTGAGAATAGTTGGGGACTAGTGAATCTTATTTTGATTTTCTTAAAAACAAACCCCATATCCAGCAATATTTAGTTGTCAATAAAATCAGATATGATTAAGGGGTAGATGAACTGAAGTGTCATTCACAATTACTGCCTTTCAAGTATTCATAGTAGTATATTTCAATAATTCTTGTCGTTCCTAGCTGAGAAATGATCAGAATTACTTTTCTTTCATATTTTTAATAATTGGCCTAACATGCATTTAGTGAATATTCTGATTTTTCTTCAATATACAAATGACAGAAGAATCCCATTTCTTAAACCAGAATTGGATTTCTCCCACTATAATTATATGATCCCTCTCAAAAACCATCAGAATATATTGCTCAGCTCAGGCTTCAGCGTGACTCTTAAAAAGAAAACCGGCTCTGGACTATGAGGGTTACAAAAAGGGAATTTTTGCCACTGACATATTTGTTATGTTTATTGTAGGGGAAAAATCCTACCAATAGACACAAATAATGAGCAGTATTGTTTTTTATAATTACTTAACATCTAAGTTTTCTGATCACTACTAGGTATTTTAAAGCCAATATGAAAAGGGAGCCAATACTAAGCTCTGTAGAAATCCACCTTCTTTTAGAAACCTCTGGCCTCTGCACCTCTTTAGACAACTCATTTATAACCACAAACATTCATGGCTTTTCACATGCCACACACAGCTGGGTAAAAACAAGCAATCTCTTATACCAAAAGGTCCTTCTTACAAAACAATGGGAGCCCCTGAAACCACAACTTTTTGTCTTATCTATGACTGGCAAGAGATTAAATCTGTAGAGTCCCCTAACTGCCACACAGGGCTTAGGACAACATGTAAAAAGGACAGCAGGGTTGCTGAAGTCCCACACTGCCTCAGGCATTTTTCTCTAAACACAACAGAATTCTGCAACAGAGACTTACAAGTAGAAAAGAATCCAACTGTGCAGACAGACACCCTCAATCCTCTGCCACCACCACCAGCTTAACAGCTTGACCCTGTGGATCAAACATTCTCTCTTTTAATCCAAAGGACACAAGTCAGGCAGCACAAGTATTGAAGCATGCAACAAGTCATAGGCAATAAAACTTGGTTAGATTAAGTGTGTATTAAATAAATCTTTGCAGTTGAGTAGGAATCACAAAACAAGTGGAGGTCTGTAGGCTCAGCTTTACACCCGGGTTTTTATACACCAGCAGTCAGATTCACAATTGGTAAATACTGCACCGGAAAGATGTGTGCAGGGAGAAGAAATAATCATCACATTTAATGTTTATGATAGTAGGCTCAGCTTTACACCCGGGTTTTTATACACCAGCAGTCAGATTCACAATTGGTAAATATTGCACCGGAAAGATGTGTGCAGGGAGAAGAAATAATCATCACATTTAATGTTTATGATAAAAAAAAAAAAACAAGACAAAACCAGATATGACCTCCACGTAGTACATAAAGTGCCTTCAGAATTGGTGCAGTTACGACAAAAATTGGTTATTTAGCTACCATTAGCAAACGCATACAAATAGGAGTCTAGACAGATCTGGTTTCCACAGTTTCAAATCAAGCAGTGCCAAGTTTCATTCAAAATTCTCTACTACAAACAGCAAAGAGGAAAATATAATAAAGAATGACTGTACAGCATCAGGAAGGTTTAAGTAATTTCTCTTATGAGAAACTGGTAGTCCAACCCTGTCACAAATGTGTTATAGCACACGTAATTACTTCTAAGGAATAATGGTGTGATTCCTTTCAAGTCAACATAAAATTTGTCATGCTATGTTACAATTCTCTCAGCCTGTAGCTATTATCTAAATTTGTACAAAAAAAAAAAAGTAATATCCAGTTTGTTTTCATTCTGAGTATGGAAAAAATTATCACTATGCCTAATGTTATATTTGAAATGCTCTCAAAGTACTTGTCTGTAGAAGGTTTTTGGATAAAAATTAGTCTTCCAATTCTAATAAAGTAGAGGGTGGAGGTGTCAAAGTATTTCAAAAAACAAGTAAAAGTAGATCAAATATAATTTCAAGCAGTACTGTTTTATTTAGCATTTCTAACATACCAATTGGCACTTGCACAACAGATTTAACCTTTAAAGTAAAAATAATTCATTGAATCATAAAAGATCAGCAGCCAAAAGTTAAAAGTGAATGACTAACTTTTATATATAAATATTCTGGCCAAGAAAATTTAAGTTAATTTAAGAAGCAACTGATAAAGCATTCTTCACACTAAAAAAAAAAAAAAAAAAAGCTCACTTTTCCAAGTACATGAGACATCTTTAATCATAATGAAATAAAATCGGTCTAAATCATTTAAAAAAGTAAACATGAGTTGTAATACTATACCTGTAGAGTGATTAATTCCATTCATTGTCATTAGAAAGTATGTAAAATATTTATTAAGGGCTTTGCCTGCAGAGGCACAACATAAATAGAATAAGTCCTCCTGAAATGTAATTAGTGTACACATCAACCAGTTGATAATGTGTGGTAGAAAATGCAGGAACTTGAGCTGGAATTGGTTCCCACGTCTGAACTTGGGCAAGGGCAAAGGCTCGGCTCCAGGAGCCTGGCCACGCGGCTGCTCCTCGGCCACAGTCTCTGCACAAGTCTGTGAGGCAAATGCAAAAGTGCAAGCAGAACTTGCTGGACGAACCACCACCCCTGAGGCGGGGATACCTAATCCACCCCTTCAAATCCTTGGGCATTTTCCACAGCCATGAGAAGTTTCTCTCGTAAGTCTTCAAAGGTTTCGTATGGAGGTAAGTCGAGGCGATTAAAGCTGCAAAAGGAACATAAAGGTCAGTAAAAAGCTACTATTATCACCCTGTGGTCACAACAGCACTTCCTAGATTTGGCTACTGGGGCGGGCATTTGGTGTTTGTGCAGGAGAATGAAAAAGCATTAACCAACAATTGTGATTGTCAAAAAATGGATTCTAGCTATGAAACTGTCCACACCAAAAAGGCTACGTAATACACAGAGGAGAGAAAACCATTTTCTAATAGTCTGTGAAACCTCTGCTACAGCCAGATGTGGATCTCGGAAAAATCCTGGTGGGAAGGGAGACATGAAAGGCAAGGTAAGTGACATACATGCCAAGGTTTCAAAACCCTGGGGACACAAAGAGTTTATATGCTTTAAGAGTTATAGATGAGTAGAGACTGTGTCTCTTTCTAATGCTTTCACTTATTCTACATTAGGCCAAGGTTTATCATTTCTTTCTTTTTGGTGGCTAGCTGGTATAGGGATCGAACCCTGGACCCTACTGTTATCAGCACCATGCTCTAACCACCTGGGCTAACCAGCCAGCTCACCAAGTTCTTTTCTGTTTTAACTCATTTCATTTTCATCATAATGCTATGATAAGGCAGACAATGTTCTCTCCATTCTGTAGATGCAGATCCTGAAGAAGAGAGATAAAGTCAAGGGGTCCAAGGTCACTCTCCTAGTGACCCAAGAACAGAAGCAGGCTGTCTGGGCCTCCAGAACACCAATGCCAAGCTGCCTCCGCTAACCAAGTCAGGGAAGAAATTGATATTTTAAAGTGAAAGCTGCACTTACAAAAAGCCCTTACATATTTGGAGGCTTCAGTTGGGGGGCTGCAAATCAGCCTGTTGACAAGTCTTCAGACAGATGGATGACCTCTGCAAGCAATCAAGCCTACTTGCTCAAGGACCAAGTTCAAATTCTGGCTCTGTCACTTGCCAGCTGGGTGACCTTGGGCAAGTAACCTCACCTCTCTGAATCTGTTTGCTCATCTGTGAAATGGGGAAACGGCTCATGGGGGTGCTAGGAGGATCAAATTAGAACATTTGTAACGTGAGCTGGCCCCAGCAAGTGCTCAATAGATGGAGATCAGTGTTAATATTCACTTATCATTTACTGAATGCCTACATGAGGCTCGAGAAAGTTCAAAGCCTCCAGTCACAGAACCAGCGCCTGTGGGGGTGGATGGCGAATGTGTTTCTGTTGTGAAAATGGCCACACACTTGGCATAACTACTCACCACATCCTAGTCAGCCTTGTTTCAGTACTGTGCCTATATTAGCTCACTGAATTCTGGCAACCACTCCTATTTTATAGAGGAGGAACTTGAGGCACAGAGAGATGAGGTAACTTGCCCAAGGTCACACAGTAAGCATGAGAGCCAGGTTCAAGCTCAGGGTGGCTCCAAAGCCCAGCCCCTGACCCACACTTGTGTCTATACTTAAAATTGCCCCCTCCAGGCATTGACGTGTGCTTCCAAAAGCGAGCACAACCACCACTTCTGCTAAAAGCTAACAATTACCAGCAAGCAGCAGTAAGAAACAAATACATGTCCACGGTGGTCCCTTTAACAACCCGAAATGTTTAACAAGTCCCAAAGACAGAATAACACCATACTTCTCAAACTGGGATTCTCAGAAATCCAGGAATCCAAAGAGCGTTAGTCCTAAAAGAAGTTTTTAACCTTTGATTTACATATTGATGATGATCTGAAAACATTATTTCATCAGTTATCAAGACAGAACTCCACTTTTGCAGACGGCACTTAAAAGAGCCTTTCACAGAAGGTGACTTTGGGGTTTCACAGTCCAGGGCCTGTGATCCTGATGGGGTCTGCCTCTAGAGGATCTGGATCTGTGACAATTTTTCCCTTTAAAAAGGCCCATACATTATTTAAGTTTAGGAACTTGGCTCTTACTGCTGTTCATCACGGTTAGCACTGCGAGTCTGAGAGTTCTGTGTTAACATCAACAGCCCTGGTCTTGGCTCAGTGCTGGCTGCCATTCAAACTCAGGCTATCATAATCCAGAAAACCACATCTGACTAGAAGCTCCAAACCACCGAAACATTCTCTCCCTAGATTAAAGGCAGAGGATCATACACAATGACTGTTTTGGACATTCACCAACTGCAGGCTGAAGTTGGCTTGCTTTCCAGGGTCTGACAGGCAGTGACCACATCTATTCTGTTTGGAGAGTCATGAGAACGGTATGAATGAAAAAACAAAAAACAAAAAACCTTCCTTTCTGAGGCAAAGGAATCAAACAGAAGCAAAAAGCCTTTCACAGCCAACTTTCACAAATGCATTTTTCTGTGAATTTTCTCCTCTAGTTTAGGGAGGCACTTCCTGCAGTGAGTGTTCTGCTGCATATGTAAGCTTTGCTGGTCAAAGCAGGCTGTACTGCTCACTCTTTTCCAGAAGGCCCACTTGCACTGCTTCCCAAGGAACTGGAAATAAAAGCCTATGCAGAGAAACCAAAACAAGGGTCACGGGAGCTCGGATTAGCACATGACTGCTGAACACTGTTTTTAAAAAACCCATGGGGGGCCGAGCCCGTGGCACACTCGGGAGAGTGCGGCGCTGGGAGTGCAGCAGCGCTCCCGCCGCGGGTTCCGATCCTATATAGGGATGACCGGTGCGCTCACAGCACTCTCTGGCTGAGCACGGTGTGGCCGGTCACAAAAAAAAAAAAAAAAAAAAAAAAAAAACCCATGGGGCTAAGTCTGCATCTGGGCTGGGTATTATGCAACTATTCAAAGAAGCAACCGAGACCCTTCTGCAGGCAGCCACAATCACAGCCCAGTCGTGCCCCCTCGTTTGTGGTTTCGCTTTTTCTGGTAAGAAAATATGAAGATATTTTGAGAAAGAGACGCACACACACTACATTCATAACTTTTATTATGGCATATTGTTATATCTGTTCTATTTTATTATTAGTTGTTAATCTCTTACTGTGCCTAATTTATAAGCTAAACTTTACCATAGGTATGTATAGGCAAAAACATAGTAATATAGGGTTTGGTACCAGCAGTTTCAGGCATCCATTGAGGGTTTCAGAAAGTATCCCCCTGCAGATAATGTACGACTACTGTATTACCAAAATCCAGGGAATAATGGGCTACTGATGAGTGCAGAAGGCCTTTTAAAAATGTTTTTATAGCAAATTTTATCCTAAATTCTGAACAACCAATTGGAGTTAGTTGGAGTAAAAACCCAATCTGTTTAGAAGTTGGAGCTCCCATATCCAGGTATGGTGAATAGCAAAATTTCTGCTACCTAGAATAATCAGGGAAGGATCGGGTTTGGAGGAGGAATGCCCTATAGCACAGAAGGTTTAGCTCTTTATATGGCAAACCTTACCAGGTACATTCAAATCTCAGTTTAAGTTTCATCAGCATTACTGTGCAATTTATATTTTTATCGCATCCTTGTTACTGTATGCTCTAAGCTATTTATGGGCAGGAAAGTAGCACTCTGTGAACTCCAGACCAGCATCGCACATAGTTAGGTCTTTAAAATACTCTGTTTGCACTTGAGCGTTTTACACTCACCATGTGTGAGCTCTGGGCAGTTTTTCAGGACTGCCCCATTGCTCTATTGTAAACAGCTGAGGACCGTTGGAACCTAGAAGAACAGACAAAAAAATGTTAGGTGTGCTTGAGGCTACAGAACGAAGCTATGGCACGACGTGAAGAACAGGGAAGCAAGATCCGCCTGGTGAGCCCTGAGCCCCGCCTCTGCTTCTGTGACATTCCGTGTTTGATGCTGGGGAAGCCAGAGGTCTGTGCAACCTTACAATACAGACTCTGCATCACCTCCAGAATGCAAACACGTTTACAGACACACCAGACACAGCTACAGCCTCTCAACTGAACCCTGGATGTTTACATTTAAAACTACTTTTGGGGGAAATAAGAGAAAAGTGACCTTCAGTACATAGATCACAAAGAGTGATTTTTTAAATCTATAGTAAGCACTGAAGAACTCTGCCTCCTGGAAGTGAGGTGTCCTTTAAATGATCCGTTTATAACCAGAGATTCTGCAAAATGATATACTAAGAAATTTTTAACGATATACTAAAAAATTAAAATAGAAGAGGGAAAATAGAGAAGACCAATCTTATGGTTCTCTCCACTAATCCCCCAATCCCCATGCAGATAAAGGAAATAATACAAATAGCTCAAGGCAGAAGCATGCTGCTTTCTGTCTATGTGAACTATTTTTACTGAACTATGCATAGCACACTGTCCTGAAAAGACTTCTGAGCCTTGTGCAGAGGCCGGGGAGGCAGTGTTCTCGGGCCACAGTTGATGCCTGTCCAGAAATGCACTGAGGACTGAAACTAATAGTATCCTGCTCACCATAAAGTTCGGCAAATCCATTCATAGGTACGCGGGATGTCCCTGTCACAAACTGCAGTAACCGGATACGCTTTTCGGCATCCATCAGCAGTACAGCCTACGAACAGAGACAGAAGGTCATTATGTCCCTCATGTGACACACGGCACATGCTGTGGTAATGCAGGCAGGTAAAACTTAATCTTATTTATACTGCAATGGAAAACCTACACGGTTGACACTGAAAACTGAGTTTTTTTTTTTTAAGGCCATCACAATACTTAGAGAGTGAGTGATCACAATGTCTTTCTTCTTTTGCCAATAGGCCAAAATAAATGATATAAAAAACAGACTCTTTGATGGCACTGAGCTCGCTCTTCTGTGTTCGAGGCTTGCCAGTCCCCCTAAGCCAATTTTAAATATACAGTGTTTGAGAAGTGTCAGCCTCAGGGGAAGCCAGGTTATGAGATGGTACTTTAGACTGTAGACAAAGTCAAACATAACAGTTAATAAAAAAGAAAGAAAAAAAAACAAAGGCAAGGACAGGCTTCTAAAACAATCTGTGTATTTCATATATCTGAATTATTACAGGAACTGAGTTGGCTTTACTAGTAATGTTACTTGAACTGCTGCAACCCCCCCCCCCCCCCCCCCCCCCCCCCCCCCCCCCCCCCCCCCCCCCCCCCCCCCCCCCCCCCCCCCCCCCCCCCCCCCCCCCCCCCCCCCCCCCC